TCTATTTCTTACTCCAGTGTCAAACGATTGGATGCACAGACGCCAAAAAATGTGGATGCATTGGACCTTTCCACAGTGTCCCACATAGACTTTGCATGTAGACCAGTTGCTTTGACACCCAAAATGCGTTTGGTGTGAACACACTATAAGAAATTTCCAAGCTGCTTGGACAAACCTTGTATTCTATCATTCTTGAGAAAGAACCTTGACCCTGGCTGGATTAGTTGGATGCAGTGTTCAAAGTTACAGTGAACAGATGTCCCCCCGGGCACAGTTGCCACTGTTTTGGGCCACATGTCCCCGATTTTGCTGATTATCAGTGAGAGGGGAAAATTTTTTGTGTAGACTTATTAAAATAGCATATGTGAATTCTATGTGCAGACACAGCTGTTTCAGTAGCTGGTTGCTCTGCTTTTAACGTGAATATGAGAAAGAGAGTGCAACGCTTTTATTTATTTATCACAACTGGCTTCAACTGACGAGGAGCTGCCCTGCATAACACACTGTAAGTATTTAAATCAATAAATTTACATTTGTATTGGCTGATCCTTGTGATAAATGTTTGGTTCTCACTCAAAAAAAAATACTCTATCTATATATATATTTTAAGATAGTATAAGTTTGTTAAGTTGTTTTGCTAATTTATGACTGTGCTTTATGAGCATAGACTCCAGCTTAGGTTTTCTACTTACTTTAATTTTGGATAACTGGAAATTCCACGTGAAAAATAGGAATCAGTTACAGAACCACTGATTGAACAAGATTCTGCATGATCTAAAACTGATGGTAGTTAAGAGATAAAAGACCTATTTAGTGGTAATGTGTTTTTGCTTGTAACTCCAAATATAGTGCAATAAGCATTTTTAATTATATTTAATAATTTAATCCAGTGAGATAATATCAATAATAATTATTATTTACCTTTGTTGCTATCATGATTAGTATGATGAGATTAAACCAGGATAAACCATCTTTTCTAAAATAAAAAAACTTCCAAACTTCCAAACTTATTAATGCAGGTGTATCTGTCCTCAGTAGCCAGCCAGACACACCTGTCCAGTAATGAAAGACAGTAGACAAAGGTAGCAGTGGTAGCAGGAAGCGGTGGAGTTGTAAATAGAGCTCATTAAGCGGTGTATACACTGTACTATTTTTTTGCCCTTTCCAGGCTGATTCACTAGTTGCATGAGAATTATTTGCATTGGGCCGAGTTACAGACACATTGTACATCTTGTGTTGTGTAGTACACTGTCAGGTTGTCACGTTTATTGAAAACAGAACTGCAGTGAGCAGCATTGGTATCTAAGGCAGGTGCCGTGGAGCCAGGAGATCAGAGGTCTAAAGAGGGAGAATCCAGAATGCAGTCGGCCAACAGTTCCAGGTTCGTTACACAGAGAGGCAGAGATCCGGCAGGAGTTAGAAACAGATTAGAAAGGGGATGGGCAGGCACAGAGGTCGAGAGGCAGAACAGGTCAGTATCAGGCTATCAGAAACATAGAAATGCTAAAGAACTCTCACCACACGCTCTAATCATCTGGCACTGATGACCAGTCTGAAGGCTGCATTAAAAGAGAGTGAAGCAGTTGGATCAGATGAGCGATAATGAGAATTGGGCGGAGATAAATAGGTGAGTAAAATGAGTATTCAGATCAGACGTCAGCGCCAAGATGACAGTATACAGTGAGTAACGAGGGGCAATTAGCTTCTCATAACCACCTCCCTATCAGGAATTGTAAGGTAGGAAGAAAATCAAACACATTTAAAATATAGACAGCCCTCGTATGGTGTTTGTGTGCAAATAATTCTTTTGAAGCAGAGCTATGAGTGTCTACGAGCCGATCTACCAGAACCTTGCAGATTTGCAAAGAAGGGAGTTCTTCCTCTTCTTTCAGATTGATAGGTCCAACCAGCTCCATCTTTCAGTGCTCAGTCTGACGTGTGGTTTTTGGACGTACAGTGTGAGCAGTTACAGTAGATCTCATCAGAGTATTTAGCCGTATAGTGTTAGAACATACATCATGAGCTGTGAAATTTTAAGCCCGGCGATTTCATCAAACAGTTTGAGCTGTAGTTGAGCAGAACTATTCAAAATATTGTAGTGTATGCCTGAACTTAGTGGGCATACAATGCTTCTCTGAGATGCAAAGGCCCCTGATGCTGTCAGTTGACAGTAATAAACATATATAATCTTTTACCTGCAGGCTTGACTGCTCCTTGGTTTTGATCCATATTAATGAACAAAAACCTATTTCAATAGGTATTTAAATGTGAACAGAATCAATATTTGTTGCACTTTATTGAAAAGTTAGCGGAATTCTATGTCCACAGACAGCCACAGGCATAGGCTGTTGGATAAAGGTTGGAATTTACTTTTCTATTTTTTCTTTTCTTCATGTCACCCCTCCAACCTTTACCCATTTCCCCCGACCCAGAGACACAGTTCCAGTTATCTAACACTTCGGTAGAATTATTAGACAGCATGGGATCAATTTCCACTTTAATGATACCCAGCTATATCTGTCTATAAATCCAGATGAAGCTAACCCATTACATGGATTACAGGCATGTCTCCAAGACATAAAAACTGGATGGCACTTAACTTTCTGCTCCTAAATGCAGACAAAACAGAAGTTATAGTCTTTGGACCAGAGTCTTTGAAAAATAATCTGATTAGTCAGTCACTTCATTTGGATGGGATTAAACTGATTTCAGATAAATTGATCAGGATCTGTCATTTAAATCCCATATCAAAGAAGTTTCTAGAATTTCCTTCTTTCATCTGTGCAGTATTGAAAACATTAGAAATATCCTGTCCAGGGGTGATTCTGAGAAACTAGTCCATGCATTTGTTACTTTAGGGCTGGACTATTGTAATTCTTTACTATCAGGAAACAGGTAGTTAAAAGCCTTCAGCTGATCCAAAATGCAGCAGCCAGAGTTCTGATGAAAATTAGAAAGAGAGATCATATCTCTCCTATCCTGGCTTCTCTTCATTGGCTTCCTCTTAAATCTAGAATAGAATTTAAAATCCTCCTTCTCACATATAAAGCCTTAAATGACCAAGCTCCATCTTATAACAGAGAAATGATTGTTCTTTATGTTCCAAGTTCTACAAACTGGCTTGGCTATGGATCTGAGAGATACCAACGAACGTGCGCCGGCCCGTGCAATGCCTTTGATCCCCTAAGCAACTGCTCTAGTCGTCGGACTGGATGGGGGGGGGTCATCGAGAGAGTGTCTAACACCTAACCCTAACCCTGAGTTGCTTTAAATCAAGACTAAAAACACATTTGTCTAAGATTGCCTTCGACTGAAACATCATTAGTTCAACTTTTTTTTATATTCTTTAGTTCAACTGTTTTTAATGTTCATTTTTGTTTCTGCATTTTGCCGAAAATTGCATCCCATGCTGTTTTACATACATATACACTTGTAGCTGATGTAACATTTTCTACATTTTCTATTGTGGATCTTAAAGAGAGGAGGCACCTCATTTATGTACAAAACCTGCCTTGAATGTGAACATCGCCCATCACAGATATCTTTTTCCAGTTTTGCACTAAGCTTTTTTGAGGTGAGTAGTTCAAAGCCTATCTTCTGATATGTTACTGTCCCCCTCAATATAATAACTTCTTAAATTACTTCTTATGATTTTTGTCTGGCATAGGCCAAGCTATGATTTTGTTCTTATTGTTTTATTATGTTTTTATTGTCTTATTGTTTCAATATCAGTGCGTGTTTGCCCTGATAAACTGCTGGTGAAAAATTTTTAAGACCTAATTGACTCTTTTAACCAGATCCAGTCAGTAACTGGCTCCACATATGAGCAAGGCCACACATTAAATCTGATTCTCATGATATGCTTGTTTCTTATGTGGAAACATGATTCTGGCTGCTCAGATCATATGTTGGCTTTATCTGATGTTGATTTTAAGCAGTTTTTATCTAAATCCCATTCCCTTGTTTGTCACTGTTACTGTGACTTTAAGTCCATCCTCTGCAGCGGAATTTTCTAAGGCCTTTTAGTCAGTTCCTTGTCCCTCCTGAGGTGTGCTACTCTGGAGTAGACAAGCTCTTCTCTCGGTTTGACTCGTCATGTCAAACAATCTAGACCCTGTAGCTGCCTAATCACACTTTCTAATCCTGATCCTTCCGCTACAGCTCCTTACTCTTGTTTTTTTATGATGTTTGAACCTGTGACTCTCTGTTTTAACAGATGTGGTAATAGATCCCCACCGATACCTGTTCCTTCATGATTTTTTAAGGTTTGTTCTTCCATTTCACAGATTGTCCATACCATTATCAATTTTAATCTCTGTTCTGTTGTGGTTCCTACCAAGCTGGACCAAGATGTACCTGAGTGAAATAAAGGCCCATCCTATATTAGAGGATTTACGGTATGCAGTTGTTGCACCTCTTTCAAGAAACTTGGACTGGATCAATCTACATTTGTTCAATTATGGGCCTATTTCTAAGCTACTATTTGTTTTAAAAGTCTTAAACCTTTTCTGGAGGAAATTACCTCCTCGAAATATTTGAGTCTGGGTTTAAGACTTTAATTTATTTTATTTTTTGATACAGTGTCCTGTCTGGCAATGTGGCAATAAGAATAATTGTCTTTATGCCAAAAAAAGCACAACAGATTTTACTTTCACAAGTGTAGCAGTATGACAATTGCCACATTGCTCCACTTGTTTCATGCATATAAATTGCTTTATTATAATTAGGCAGGGAGTTTTACAGTTTATATGGACACTGCAATGTAAATAGAGCAGAAAAACAGAAGAAGAAAAGAAAAAAAAAGAAAAAAAGAGAAAAGATGAAAGAAAGAAGAGAGAAAGGAGACAATGACAAAACATTTTCAGTCTGCTTCATCACCTGTAACGAGATGAAAAAAGAACAGCGCAACCGAAAGACATGGTACGAGACATACAATAAAGCAACACCTTGAAACTATTGCTAAAGTAATATTATTAAGTCTGACATGTACTCTGTGTTACCTGAAGATATGGATGTTGACATGATCAGGCAGGATTACTAGCCCAAATGCAGAACTCACAGACTCAGAGGCAGGATAAAAGTCCAATAGTTTATTGGATTGCAGACAGGGTTCTACCTGGGAGGCGGAGAGGACAGAGCAGGTTAGGTTCAGGTTTACAGATTCAGGTTTACAGGGTCAGAACAGGCAGGCTGGCTCAGGCTTGCTAACCATAACAAGTTTAACAATCCGGCGCAGAGTGGAGCTCTCCTGTAGCTTATGAAGGGAGAGCTTAATGAGCAGATGGGGATCAGCTGTTACGAACGAGCACAAGGTCTCAGCAAAGGATCTACGGCGCCCTCTAGTGGGCAAGCCTCTGGATCCCAACCGACAGCAGAACCCCTCAGAAAGGGATCCACATCGACCTCTGGAGGGCAGACCTCCCGATCCCAACAGACAACAGAAGCCCACAGAAAGGGATCCACATCGCCCTCTGGAAGGCAGACCTCTGGATCCCAACAGATGTGGGGTTTCTGTTTGAAAGTGGATCTCTGAGTACCTGGAGCCAAGCACTTGTAATTGTTTGTGAGGGTGCACTTGTGCATGTAAAGTTTAAGGCTTTAATGTTACAGACATAACAGCAAAACTATGACTTTTAATAACATCCTCTTGGCCTGCTACTTTGGTTCCCATTGTGCATTACTGCAGCCAAATTTTACAGCATGGCTCAAGACTTACTTTTATTGGCTGGATTTTAACACTGGCAGAACCTAGTTTTTATGACCTTGTTTATTTAGCAAGTTCTTAATATTGCCTAATTTTATATCTTTATGCTTTTTAGGAAAATTATCATTGAAGATGTTTGAGTTTATTACACCTTGGTATTGGCTTTCTGTTGTTTGTCAGAACTGATGTTTTAATCTACGTGGCAAAGATTTGGAAATGAAATGAGAGCGGTGTCCTTCAGCTAAGAATGAAGTGTAATATTTTGATAAGGCTCGAGCCATGGATGTCTAATCATCTGCTAACGTGTATGATGTAAAATAAGATGATGTGGCAGATTGGAGATGTATAAAATGCCTTTTTAAATGTTAATCGGGGCAACTTCCTGAGAGGTGAGCCCAGAGGTGAGCAGCTGCCTTCTGTACATTCTAAGAAAGTTCTCTGATCTGAGTAAGACTGCAAATTCTGTCAGAGTCTGTTGCCATGTCTCGTGGTTATTTATTACATAAAGGTTAAGAAGTGTTATTTAAAGAGTTTGTCCCCAGTGATCTCTTTTCTGGAAATAAAATGGAGAGATAGAGCATGAAGGTGCATACACATGCTGGATTGAATTTTTTTATTATAGTGTTTTATTATTTCTGGCTAAGCTAATTACTTTGCTTTCAGCTGCTAATTGTTTTAAAGAGCTCTAATATAAAGTTGAAAAGGATGCTGATGATGATGATGATGATGATGATGATGATGATGATGATGATGATGCAGTTCAAAACAGATAAAAAATGAAATAATTCAATTAGCTCCTTTTGAACAGTTTACTGGGATATAACCAGTAGATGGCAGTATAGCGAAGCTTTTGCCTAAATTAACTTAACCTTTTACTTAGGTTTGATGTAAATCTTCCAACAATTTAAACATCTTAAAGGAATCCAATTTTTTAAAAGTTATTATTTCTTTTTTAATTGTAAGAAATTTGAAAACAGGTAATTATCCTGTTGTTGATAAAGGCGCTGTACTGTTTAATCAATTTTATAGAACACAAACAGGCTAATACTTTTAAACTGATGTATTGAGACAATTAGTTTTATGAACACTTATAATGCATGGGAATATACCTGTCCCTCTTTTAAGTCATTCATTTCTCTGGATAGAATCAGCATATTTATGTCTTACTGTGTGATAGCATAAAGGTAAAGTGAATCTTTACACAATTTTCCCCATAATTTAAAATAAAGTTTAATAATAATCTAAATAATAGCTGAAGTTTTGAGACATTAAGTAATAATGTCTGCTAATTATGACATTGTATCTGTTTTTGGGTTGGTATTCTCTTTTGAAGTCTGGTGCTATAGTGGTGAAGGAACACTTCATCTAATCACTGTGCAAAGTAAAGTGATTAGATGCAGTAATTGTAATTACTGTACAAGGTTCTCTCATGAGTAAACTGTCTTTATGAGTCATTTATTGTTAGAAAATTGAGCATCCTTACAAAGAACCTTTACTTTTAATTCCTTTATTGAAATCCAAATTACAAATCCAGATTGTAGTTCTAAAATACACTTAGGGCCATTTAACTTAACATTGTCCTATGGTTTAATAAAACTACATCTTAAAGTCTTTTGCCAATTGGTGGAAAAAGAAAAAAAGCTCCCAAGGTTGAATAAATTACAACAGCTGTGAAGTGTGGGGCTGGCAGCTTCATTTTAGATGTATTTTTTGCTGCAGAATTACATGCAAACCTATTGTCCATGTCCATTTGGAAGATTGAGTTTTCTTCCAGCAGCAGCTTAGCAGTGGGGCTAACAGCAAGGCAGGCTTTCTTGTTCATGTGGCTCACATCAGGGATCCTTAGAAGGCCTTCTCATCCAGTCTGGCTCTGTAAGTTCCTTGGTCATTCTGGAGATCTGGGCTTTTTGCCTGGATCTCCATTTTGCTGGAGCCCCTTATCCAATGTGGACCCCAGGTAGCTTAATGGGAAAGAGAGAGAAAATCCTGTGTGTTGTGGTTTTCACTGTCCTCAATACAATGCATTTCGGTCCTCAACCACAACTAAACCCTGACATCTTTATTAGCTACAATCACACAGTTGTTGTGATTTTATGTTCAATTCTGTTCCCAGCCAGCTGGGAATTTATATTTCTTTAAGATGTTTATTGCCCTCCCCGGTAGGGGTGGTAAAACACACAGTCCAACTAACTGTGTGTCAGAACAATAGATGAAAGAATGATTCGAGCACTAATCATGGTCAAATACTTAATTCTGCACATACATGGAATAAATTCACCAGAACTTCTGTTCAAAATATAAATAAATATAATATAATAAATAAATATAATATATTAACAAAAATCATTCAGCTCCAAGTCAAACATATTCCAGTTTAACACTATTAACTAAAACTAGCAAAACTCAACTAATCTAAACTACTATGTACAAAGAGGAAGGGAAAACATGGTTAAAAAACCATATTACAGTTTTAGATGGATTTTGTTTTTGAAACCAAAGTTTATTTGGAAGAATTTGGGATATGATCAAAGGAGCTTTTCACTAATTTTAAAGAAATTGGAATGTTTTCAGACCAATTCACAATGCAAATCGATGAGGTGAATAAAACATTATTTGGCCAAATAATGTTTTTTTTTTTAAATGATTTGCTTAATCAAGAACCAATAACACTGCATGAAAAGTGGGATTTTCGTCAATATACGGCACTGTAGATTGTCGTGGAACTTCAGGTTAGCGGCAGTTTACGGCAATTTGCAGGCTTCGACGAAAACTCCCGTAAATTGTCAGAAATTGACGTGGAATTTCTTAGGCAGTGTTCCCCCCATGCCTCCCCCCCATGGAATTCTAGGGGAGGCTTTAACATGTAAATGAACATGCTGTGAGCTATACAAATGCAAACCAGGGTTGCAGGGGGGGTTTTACCCCCCCCCCCCCTGCAACCCTGGGTAAGAAAATCTCTGATACAAAGAGATCAGGTATAGCCTCTTACATTTTAGCTTGAATTGATTTATTTAATTAAAGTATAGAGACCAAAACAGACCTTTAGCTGACAGAGCAATACATTTAGAGCAGTAATTATTTTTTTTTTAAATTTGCATTTAAGATAAAAAATAAAATGTTGTCTGTCAATATGCTCAATTCACAATTACTTAAGTGGAAAAGTTTCAAGAAATGATTCCGAGATGATTCACTTTATAACATGGCGCATTATCCTGTTGGAAGTAGCCATCAGAAGATTGGTACACTGTGGTCATAAGGACATAGGTCAGCATGCTAAATTGGTTTTAAGTGGCCCAAAGTGTGGCAATAAATATCCCCCAAATAGATGGTAGAAATAGATCAGGCTCAGTATAGCCTAATTATAGACTCTTACATTTTAGCTTGAATTGATTTATTTAATTAAAGTACGCTAGATTACTGTGTATGCAAATGTTATGTAAAAAAAATACACAAAATAATTTACTTCAAAAATTAGTTTTAATCAGAATCAGTTGGCTGTAATGGTTAATTTTTTTTTTTAGATTTCCACTTTTTTTTTTTTGTTATTGAATATATAAGAAAACAATAACAATCTCAAATAACAAGTCAATAACAAATATTTCAATACAAGAAGAAATATCACAACTCCTGCTTTTGAAAAATAAAATTAAATGCACAGGCTGGAACAAAGTATAAAATAAAATAAAATAAATAAAAATAGATAAAATAATAATAGTAGTTAAAGTAAATTAATCAGTGGGGACTACCAACTGAAATTCTTCAATTAACTCAAACAATTTAATTGCATTTAAATTCTGCATCTTTCTCAGACATCTTTTGAAAAGGGAAAGTTCATTTTTGAGAGCAGAGATTGAGAGGGAGCATTTTGCATAGCGACATTTATGGATATAATACTTTGTTACAATTATTAGAATATTGATTAAAAATTCCAAATTTTTTTTTTCTTTAATGGATAAACCGAATTGAATGTTTTGCCAGGAAATAAAATCTAAATTTATTGTTTTAGTTTTTGGGAATATATACAAACTATGCTCTAATTTCTAGATACCGATCTGTTTTTACTATAATTTAATTTGACAAACCGGGTCTTCTCTACATTCTTTTTTCTGTTTGGTGCGATTGCAATAGCGGGTCTTGATCTGGACGGACCGGAGGGGAGCAAAAAATAGCTCTGCTCCGTATTTTGACGGTGAAGGACGGAGAAGACATACGTGGGCGGTGACGAGCGGAGGATGTGGAACAGCTCTCATTGATTTACATGACAGACAAGTAATACAGATAGTAGGATGGACATTTTATTAGAAATAAATCATACACTGTTCAGAATACGAAACATGGGGCTGATAGTTACATTTGTGTGGGTTCCAGCACATATTGGGGTGGAAGGAAACGAGAGGGCAGATAAAATGGCAAAAAGGGCAATTAAACATTCTATTAGTTTTATAGTTAAAATAAGTAAATCAGAAGGAAAGAGTATTATTAAAGAGAAACTTATGGAAATTTGGCAAAAAAGGTGGGATGAAGATAAAACAGGAAGATGGTTTTATAAAATTCAGAAGATGGTAGGAGAAAGAAGAAATGGAAGAAGAAATAGAAAGGATGAAAGAGTGATAACAAGGTTAAGATTTGGTCATACAGGACTTAATCATACACTTTTTAAAATACAAAAACATAAAACGGGCAAATGTGATTTCTGTGATAAATATGAAACCATAGAACATGTTATATTAGAATGTCATAAATATGAAAAAGAGAGAAGATATATGAGAAGAGAGTTTGAAGACATTAAGGAGAAGGTTTATTTATTAGATATACTGAGGAAAAATTTAGGGAGTAAACACATACAAATAATTATTCGATTTCTAAAGAAAACGAAATTATTCCATAGAATTTAATTATAGTAAGTGTGTTTGTGAGTGAAGGAATGATATACAAAGCTGTGCACAAATATGTTTATATTTTTAAGTGTGAATGTGTGAATGTATGCTTAGAAGAAGTTAGGGTAGAATGTATCAGGATCAATATTTAAACCATCACGAACCACACTCCATACCAGTAAGTGGCGGTATAATGCTACTAACAGTTTGTTGCCAACCGCCATAAAACTCGACAAGAAGAAGAAGAAGACAGACAAGTACTCCGTACGTGAGCGGGGCGGAGCGCTGACGGAGTATGTGGAATCTGGGGGTAAAGGAGGACAAATACACGTCCGGCTGGGTGCAGCGCCGGACGCCGGACAGTGCAATGAAAATCCGGACTGTCCGCCTAAAGCCGGACATCTGGCCACCCTATCTGCAGTCGAGCAACTTTGCGGGATATACGAACTCGAGGAAGAGAAGACGGGTGCACAACGCCACGCTAGCGGTAAATATATGTTCGATTACTGGTAGCTATGCTAAAAGCAGCCTAGCTTAGCTAGGCAAGCTAAAGACAACCTAGCCTAGCTAGGTAAGCTAAAAGCAGCCTAGCCTAAAGCTTTACTAAAGTGTATTTTTTGTGATTCACAGGAAGCAATATGCCGTCTTAACAACTCGGAGACTAATTGCAGGCGCTATGAACCGGAGCAGGGGTAAGGTTTAAAGAATATGCTTTCATTCTGCGGTAAAAGGACATGGATACGGATGGATACCGACCATAGCTGTACTTTTTTTTTTTTTCACAGACTACAGTCGCCTCACAATGAGGCGGTGACCTCCTATTTGCTCGGATTTGCACGATGTTGATAAAGACGACATTGTGTGTAAGTGACTTGTTTTAATGTTTTCTCCTTCCTTGTTACTGTGACTTGCGTTTGATTTTTTTTTATTTTTTTATTCATACCACTCTCATTTAATTGTTTTCCAGCTGCCTGTAAGACGTATTATGAGACGGTATGCAGGAGCTTCAGATACACGCTGCTAGCTAGCACGCTACGTGCGGAGGCTGCCAGGCTATCTGCTCGGAGTCGGGCCAGAAGAAAGAGGGTAAGACTTTATTTGGTGACTATTTTTCAGCTGCATTGATAGATGTGTTGTGTCCATATGCAGTGCGCTGATTCATGTTTTTTTTTTTCAGCTGCTGAAGGCGAGGCAGAGTGTGCTGGCAGATGAGGAAGTGGAACTCTGTAAGTCCGCCACCGTCGACCTCATGTCCGACGAAGAAGAAGGCGTCGTTGGCGGTGTCTCTGGATGGATTGTACGGTCGTCGCCATTTCGTAGGCCGGATCTCACTGAACTCTGTGTTAAGCTGCAGTCCCGGTTAGAAGCGATGTCGAAGTACAGGGCCACGCACAGTAGGCGTCTGCACATCGGACCTGCCTCGGAGGGAATGCTGCCTGTTACCTCCAACCCCGAGGAAGCAAACGGACCGTTCACGGAGTTGTAATTTTTAGATACGCGTGTGTTTGGATACGCGTTGTATATAGTTGTGTGTGTTTTAATAAAGCTCTTTCTTTGCATAAACAGCTTCCTGGCAAATCTTCATTTCCTGTATAAATTCATTCATGTCCTTGATGGTAGCATAATAATTGTGTAGTAGTGTAGGATAACATAAATACACAGCATATGAATGAATAAATATATGAATGAATAAATATATGAATATATATATATATATGAATGAATAAATATATATATATATATGAATAAATATATATATGTAAATATATATATATGCCAACCAATCACGAGCGACTTCACTTGTTTAAAAAGAAGTGGTTCCGTCCAATACTCAGTAAGAAAATTAAAGCCTGGCATGGCCACGTGTGGTTTTGCTGCCAATCACGAGCGATTTCATTTGTTTGAGAATAGTGGTTTCAGCCAATACTGAGAAGGTTATTCAAGCCAGACCTGGCCAGCCGCGCGGGTTTGCTGCATTCATATGCTAATTAGGGCCATTAGTACAGGTGATCGCTCTCCACCTACGTCACTGTCCGTTTCCGACAATTTGTGGCACGACAAACGCGGACAAGCACGGGTTGCAAATTGTCGAAAACTGACGAAAATCAGGCAGATCTGCGGGAGTTTACGGGGGTTTACGGGGACGAAAATCTCACTTTTCATGCAGTGTAACCTTTAGTTAAATGATTCTTTACCCTCTTTGAAATAGCTAGCAACGAATAGACATCAGGATACTATTAAATGACTCTGGGTCATACTTGCTAATGGGAATGTAATGAGCCTCTGAGGAACACATGAACACTAATGTTATATATATAATGTTATATATATATAACTCTTAGTGAATAAAGCTTGTCCAAGCTCAGGCAACAGCTCAACACATATTCCAGTAGCATAGCGTAGCATGAAGTCTATTCTTTAGCGTCAATTAGCGTTGTCTTTACTCAGCAGTAAACACGTGATATGATTAGCATCATCAAAACACATATTGTTTGTTATGTCCATAACCATGCCAGACCTGCAAACCTTTTTCCATGTCCATTTGGAAAGCTTGAGCTTGAGGGCAAGGGAGAGGAGGCAAGGAGAGCAGGAGCCAAAGAGATCAGAAGCAAAAGAGGGATAATTCTGTGTGCTCTGTGGTTTTGTCTGTCCTCACACAGAGGGAGGTGGTGGTTGGTCACACCTCTGTGACTTCCATGTGACTTGCCTGTGACTGCTTTGACTGAAAAGGGAGGGGGGCTGCAGAAGTCCCACAGCTGCTATTCACCAAAGCTGAGTGTTCTCCTCTCGTCATCCCATCAAGATGAAAAACGGACAGTGGTTCCCAATGTCCAGAAAGTATGATCATGGCATAAGGCATAACATAGTATTATATCTAACAACTAAGCAAAACACTAAACACTACCGAAAATAGGCAAAATTAAAGATATAAGGGGGAAGAGGGGTTTAAGAGTCCGTTACTCTTTACTGTTTTTGGTTCAGTGGAGAGAAGGCCTTCAGCTTGGTCCGGATACTGCAGGCCCGTCTTCGGTCCAGTCCGTTCGTCCAACTCAAAGAGATTTGGATCAATCTGAGGCAACAATAACAAGCAATTTGCAAGGGGGTTAATTTAATAACTCACCGTAGCATGGGGGAGGTCTCTCTTTAGCTGCGCTGGTTAGCACGATGCTCTGTCTCCGTCCCACAGGTGGTCACAGTCTGGCGGCATCTAGTGGTATCTTTGGTGAACAGCGATTGGGGCCCCATTGTTAGGCAGTTAGCAGAGCTGAATTAGCTCTGCTCTGTCTCTGCTGCAGCAGGATTCATGATACACAGCGTTCATTTGGTTTAAATCGCAGGAAGGATAAAAACACTGCATTGAGCTCCTTCTGAATTGCCTGAAAAAGGCAGTCTGACTCAGTCCAGTGAGCACAGACTTCTCCCGCACCCAAGCCACAAACTATTTCAGTCACTTCCCTCTGGCAGGAGGCAGTGGTAAATTGAGATTAAAACACTATGCCAAAATAACAGTTTCTTCCCATCTGCTGCCAGTCTTATCAACAAGGCCCAGAGAGCCCCGAGACACTGACACTGCCTCTCTCCCTCTCCCATTCAGGACCTAGACGCTACACAACATACCATCTCCAGACTTCCTACATTACATTAATGCACAACCTTCTGTTATAAAGTATATAGCTTAATATTATATATAGTATATAGCATATTGTATATTTTATATTGTATATAACTGTAGACTCTTGTAATTTGTGGTTTTTCCTTGAATGTTAGTAAGGTTAAATATTAAAGTGTGCTGCTTTTTCTTTCTTTCTGAATAGGGGTGATTGTTTAGAGGCTTTGTTCCATTCTTTATGCTGAGATGTAGGGAAAGGAAGGAGGTTTGAAAAGGAGTTTCCTCCCTAGTTTAGATAAGGGGGAAACGTAGATAAACAGGTCCTTATTGTGTTTAAGATCCTCACGTCCTGTCTCTGGTGTGAACGGAAAACAGTTGTCTGAAATGTTTATCTGTTTCTCTTGGGTAGTCTCAATGTTCGTGTGTAAGAATTCTCTATAAATGCAAAAGGTGGGGCACGACCTAGTCAGAATCACACTGGGAGCTGTCGTCAGCTGTTTGTGTCGTTCTCATCTGCAGAGAAAAATAAAACCTTTTCTTCCTTACTCTCAGTGCTCATTTTTACTCCACACTCTGTATTCTGTATATCGATATAATTTGTCTGCACCATCAACACCAAGTCTAATTCCTTGTAAGCGTAAACCTAATTAGTAATAAATCTGATTCGGTTGCATTTATTCTGCATCATGTCAACTACAACTGCTGAAAATTTCAGACCTCTAGATATAACAGTTCCAGAACTAAGGGACTTTTAACTTCTGGTTTCACCAGTGCCTCTAACCTCTTCAAATGTGCTAAAGTATTCCAAATTGTGGTTATTGCTTTTACACAATTTTACACAGAAAATCACACTGAAGTATTTTGATGGCCGCATAACATTTTTTAAGCAAATATATCTTACTTCTTTTTTTCTATTTAGACTTTTTTTTTTACTTTTTTAACTTACATGTAATTTTTCATTCAAAACAAAATTTCATTTTGTACAGCTTTCAGACCATAAATGAGCAATAGCTTAGCAGTGAAATGTACATCTAGGGTCACCATATTCTCATTTGGGAAAACCAGGACACCTTGGAGCGGGGGGGGTGGGGTGGGGGGTGGGGGGGGTTGATTGAAAGAAGAAATGTCTCATCATCGGGATTTGCTCCGTGATCAGAGGAAATGTTACTCGGCGCAGAACAGTGGTGAAAATTGGAAGTTCAGTTTAATATAATACAACTCTGTGAATAGTTCCGTCTGAAATGAATGAAAATAGTTGTTTTAATGGTTATTGAGTCAGATATGTGGCGGTACTATTTGGTTTATCTAAAGGTTTTTTATCTGTGACTGTGTAAATGGCTTTGGCTGGAATTTAAGGACAGATTCTAATAGATCTGCAGGGTGGGGACTATAAATCTGATAGGAGTTTAATTTTTCTATTGTTGTTTTGCACAATATGCTTAACTAAGTATTTTTTGTTGTTGAATATTAGAGATTTTGCAGATATATTTTGTAGATACATTGTTTAGATTTACTTATATATTTCTAACCCTTTTATAGAATAGAATAGAAAATTCCTTTATTGTCCCACAATGGGCAAATTTACAGCAGCAGAAAGATTATTGAAAATGGTCACACATGAGGACCTTAGAAAAATGTATAAGAATAACATAATAGGGAAGAGTTAAAATATAAACAATAAAATTCTGTAAAGTGTTTTAACAATTTAAAACTGGAGAATAAATAACCAATATGCAGCTATGGAAATGTTTTACAGTAATGGATATTTGAAAATAGCAGCAACATCAGAGATGTGCAGAATGACAGCAGCATGTTATTTAACTGACTAAGGTTTCTATCATTACATTTGATTTGATTTGTTCCTGCTCCCGGCTGTTGGAATCTTTATTCCACTCTGGATTCTTGTGAGTGTAGTCTTTGTTCACTTTAACTTTAAAAAAAATAAATAAATAAACACACAGTTCTGAAAACCTCGGTATTCATTCTTTTCCTGCTTTGTGTGTCAACTTTCATGGTTGCTAAGCAACAGAGCATACGGCGGTAAAACCCGCCGAAGGGTGGACCTGTTCGAATTTACAGCCAAAACTCTTCCGGCCTCCTTATTTTCAAGGACTTCGAAGGATCCAGTCTAGGTAGACCGCGTCCTTGGAGGATGCGTCCTAGGTTTTCGAACAGAGCCTCTGATTAAGAACAGGGCTGCCCGCACTGACGCGGCTCAGGGATTACGTCACACGGAGCGTCGTGCGCAGTGAAATCAGGACATTTCCTCACTTTCGAAAAAAAACCCGGGACAGGACGTGAAATACGGATATGTCCCGGGAAATACGGACGTTTGGTCACCCTATGTGGCCTACATCAGCGTGATGAACAGCTTGCAGTGATCCAGGATCGAATCTGCATGTGTGCTGTTTACGACCGGCGATACATCTGGGCTGCACTATTCAAATTAGCCATACTTTCCCTTGTTTTAAAAGTTATTTAATTGGCTCTAGAGCCAAACATTGAAAAATAGCTTCTTGACTTTTTGAAAATAGACTTAAGTAAACTTTATTGTCATCTTGTATACAAGAAGAAAAAAAAGTTTAGGGTGTGCATAATATAAGGGGAAGCATGAGTAAAAATGGTGGCTGAGAGGGAGCACTTATAACGTTTTGAGGGCTGCATTAAATCTCTACATAAATTAACAGGGAGACTTTTGTTTTGTAGGCTGGAAGGTGTTGAAAACTAACACACAAAAGATCAACCGGAAAAATTGTGGGAGATAGAGTAATTAGCAAGAGGGTAAGCATTAGCTATAGGGATCAAAGTTTTCTCATTGTAAAAAAACAGGTTTTATATGACAGTTTTCTAATCATCCCACCTCTGCCACATCCACCCCTAGCTTTATGTTCTCCTTGTGTTTTATTGTCATAATAGCATCTGGTCTTATTAGCTTGCCTGCTTCATTTAACACCTTTGTTTATAGATTTTTGACATTGGCCTGTGTACAGTAAATTCCACAGTGTTAAATATATAGTGCCAAAGTACACTGACTCTTTTAGAGTTACTACAACAACAACTAGAGTAAGATCTACACTATGAAGTTAATCTAACAATAATTCAGAGAGGGACTAAATGTACTCGGATTGGTGTTATATTTAAATCTTAAAGTGTTACTTGAACACTGCAACATTTAAAAAAATGTAGTTTTTACTGTGACTACATTAAAACATCTGAAATTAAGTGTATGTGCTCTTCATCCTTTGACATGAGAAATGGCTCAGAGCTCATCTGCCTGACTGTGTATTTCCTCTGAAGCTAGTTAAGAGTCACCTTTTTTGAATAATTTTTTTTGTTTGTTTGTTTGTTTTTGTATGTCTGCTTCTGTCTTTTTGAAACCTAGTCAGCCTTGGCAGAAGGCTGCCCACACTGAGCCTGGTTCTCGTAGTGGTCTCTTCCTGTAAAAAGGGTGGTTTTCCTCTCCACTTTCGCCTCAATTCAATTTAATTCAGTTCAGTTTATTTATATAGCGCCAATTTACAACACAAGTCATCTCAAGGCACTTTACAGTTCAACCAGACCATACAGTCAAATTCATTCAAAGTTTTCTATCTAAGGAAAACCAGTTGATTGCATTGACTCACTGACTCAAATACAATCCCTCACACTAAGCATGCTTGTAGTGACAGTGGAGAGGAAAAGCTCCCTTTTAACAGGAAGAAACCTCCAGCAGAACCAGGCTCAGTGTGAGCGGCCGACTGGGGTTCAAGGAGACAGAAGCCGAGATACAGAGAAGAGAGCAGATTCACAGGCGACACAGGACTACACTGGAAAACAGGCCAATCTCCAGCATCTATAAACAAGGGTGTTGATGGAAGCAGCACAGCTGGTATATCTCTCAGGGATAGCATCACAGCCAAACAGGAACAGTCGCTGATGAAGGAACAGATGAAGCTACTACGAGAGAAAGCAGAGAGAGCAGAACGTTAGGGAGAGATGACCAGAGAACTAATAGATTC